GCTGCGCGCATGCTATCTTGTAGTAAGTGCAATATGCAACTTCCAACACGCGCCTTCAAGTTGTGCTTGGTACGAGATGCTAGTTGGGTGCCTTGATGTTGATCATGTCGAGCGCGCGGTTGAGGCACTCGGCAGAGAGCGGCTTTTCGCCGGTTGGGCAGTAGCCAGTGGTGACTACGCCTTCCTTGACAACATTGCGGATGAAGTGGTACTTGATGTCGACGTGCTTGGCTCGCGTGGACGATACTTGATCTTCCATCGTCTTGAGTGCACTTTGGTTGTCGACCCACAAGTTGACTGGCTCCTTGGCCTGGCGGGTTGCCTGGCGGTTCGCGATGGATCGATCTGCTCTCCGTGGACTCGTCATCTTGTGTGTGCACTTGCATTTGACGAATCTCTTCGGCGAGTTGGTGTGCACGAGCAGCCGCTACGTGAGCTTCGTTTTGGGCTGAGAGTCTTTCGGCTTCTGCGTTTTGGGCTTGTGCTATCGCGTCATCCCGCTCGGCCTGGATATTGTTGGCGGTTGCGGCAGTGCGTTCAATATGCTCGTTCGCTACTTGTCGGTCGCGGTCGTTTTGGTCTTTTTGCTCCTTCAGGTACGCTTTCCAATGTGCGGCTTGACGTTCTATAGCGGCGGCGTGCTGCTCGTCTAGACTGCGTTGCTCGTCTCGGTAACGTTGCTCTTCGGCGATTGCGGCCCTGTGCTCGTGCATCATCTCATCGTGACGGGCTTGCTGCCTTGCGAGAGCTTCTTGGACGATATTGGATGTTGACGTCGGTGTTGGTGGCTTCGGCGGGGTTGGCGCCGCGGCTGACTCGACCTTGCCATCTCGTTCTCCTATCGAGGTGAAACTGATCGCTTTCTCGTGCCGGGCACTCGCGTGCTCTTGTCAACTTCAAGGCTCGCGGCTTTCGTCCGGGCGGCGCGGTTCTACTGGCGGTGCCTGCTCCGTGACGTTGGAATGGTCTTGTTGCATCCCGGCTTCCTGGATCTTGCGACGTTCGTCTAGCAGAGTTGTCCTGGAGTACGATCTTGGTCGGTTGGCTCTGCGCAACGCGACCTTTGGTGCACCCTGGATCTTGTATGCTCCCTTCGTGGCGACGGTTTTGAGGGCCGTCGTCGCGGCTTCTGACGTCGCTGCTCTGTAGCTCGCTTGGTGTTGCAGCCGGCGCTGGCGTCGAGTTGTAGGGCTCATGTGCTCGGTTGCGATTCCGGCACGATTGAGTGTGGTCGATAAACCCAGATGAAGCCCTTGGGCTCATAACCTGTTGGAAGGCCCACCTTGAGGCTGTCGCCACACTCATGACTCGTACAGTCGGTGAAACTTAAAGTGATACTTATAGCCTTTAGCTATCGTGTTGTAAGTGCAATATGCAACTTCCAACAAGTGGCTCTAGAGCATGTGCGCTGGGCTCACCCGACGCTGGATCCGCCGCGCATCGAGCTGACGGTGGACGACCTCTGGTACCAAGACGAGGGCCACTTGCTCGGCGACGCGCCGCCGAATCTCACGAGAGATCTTCATCGACCTCTAAACCCTCGCCATGAGCGCGTATTTCGCCATGCCTTTGCCTGGTAGCATGTAGGAAGCGTCGTCGTCCCGTTTTCGAGATTGCTAACTCATAAATAGAGATCAACATTTCGTGACATTAATCTAGTTTCTGAGCTACGCTATGAAACTCACACAATCGTGCACCGGGTCAGTCTTTTGTCGACTTCTTTTAGTCTTGCGGTTTGACACTGGTTTACCACCAGGTAAATCCGGGTTCAAGTCCCGGAGAGCCCCACTTTCTGATTGGGTCTATAGCACGTCATCAAGCCCAACGCATCGGTATTTCGCAACTTGGTTTATTGCATTTGGCAACGGGTGCAATGGCGATGTAAGCAACACAGGATACAAGCCTGTCTGTACATCTCTAGGTTCAAGCAGGGAGCTCGCCAATAAAATCGACCGTAAAATATGACAATCGACGATATTGTTCATTGTTGCTCTCTTGCCCGTTAAAGAATATATATACGGCTCTGGGAGAAGCGCGCACGAGATGTTTATGCCGATCATCGAGTCGCTTTTCAACAAGGCGCCAAGCCAACATGGTGCACGTATGCTGCTCTGGGCGACCTAACGTTTTGTTGCGAACAATCGTAAACGACTCGACGGTTGTCGTAATGTAGGTGGCGAGCTTGCTCTCGGGCAAGCCGCCAAGTTGCCATTGGGACAGGCGGGATCTTGCTCATTTGGGAAAACAAAAACTCACTTTTTTCACTTTCGCATTCCTCACTCGTCGGTTGCTCGTTCTACTTGATATGCAGAAACCAAGCCCACTGGAGTCTGCTCTGAAGCCCTCGACATCAACTATCGCTGCTTCGATGCCAGAGGGTGACGTCATGGACGGTACACTCACTTTCGACGGGCTTGAGACTGCCGCCAAGGTCTTTTGCGCCCATGATGGCGAGATGTCTCCGATGCTCATTGCGCGCGACGTGCCGCTGATCACGTGGCGTGATGACGAGACGCTCAACTGCCGCCAGTTCCACGTCGTTTTCGGTGCCACGTTCGATGGCGATCCTCGGAATTCAGCGACGCTGGCTGCGATCTTCATCGTCCGACGCACTCCGAGCGGTCCGCATCAGATGGCTTTGGGCTATACGATGATGGATCTTGGCATCCAGAAGATCAACTTTGGCGATGCGTTCTACATTGGACCTTGCAAGGACCTCACGCTGGATGGTGAAGTGCGACTGCCAGACATGGCGATCTTCCAGCGCATTCGTGGGTGGAAATCCCTCCAGGATCCGTGCGTGGTGCTGGAGCTCGACCACAAGAACCGACCTTTTTCGGTCTTGGAAGAATGGATCAAGGGTTTCATCAGCCTCAAGACCCGCACGGCTATCGCAATCAAGCTCTTTGAGTATCCGCACAGCGAGGTTGGTCACTTTGGCGCTGTTGCGCTCAAATACGTTCGCGGCAAGGTTGGCGCCCCGCAGCTCCAGCTTGCCGCGAGCTTTGGCACGGTGCCATTATCGAGCGACATCGTCTCTGGGATGAGCGACGAGGTGCGCGATGCGATGCAGCATTTCGAAGACGGGGTTGCGCACGAAGTGGCTCTGGGTCATGCGCGCTGGGCTCATCCGACGCTGGCTCCGCCGCGCATCGAGCTCACGGTGGACGACCTCTGGTACCAAGATGAAGACCACTTGCTCGGCGCGGCGCCGCCGAATCTCACGAGCCTCTTCATCGACCTCTACACCGTCGCCATGCGTGCGTATTTCGCCATGACCTAGCCAACTAGTACCCTAGAGCGTCGTTGATTTCTCCATGAGAGTGCTAATGCACCAACGACTCGTAGTTGAGATACTGGTCCGATGCTATTGTGTCTCACCTCTGTTATACACCGCATTGCACTAAACCGCGGGTACAAAGTCACCAATCACATACGTGGCAGCTTCTGGTGGTGCCACGTATTGTATCAACTCGATACTCGTTCGACGCTGGTGATCACAAACACGTCGCAATGTGAGAACGTACTGGGCGTTTCAACGTATCGGTAGAGAGTAGAAATAGAGTTTTTAGGAGGAGCAGGCAAAGGCCAGCCAAACCTCGACGCAGTTTCGATTTGCTTCGGCCTGCTAAGTCTCGATCTTGGGGCATTCCACCCTTCGGCTCCCGTAACGGCCTCGAAACCAAAGAGCACCTACGCGCATCCACTCCCGGGCGTGACCCCAGGGGCCGTGCTGTTATCCAAAGAAGCGTATCCGCACCCGCTCCGCAAGGACAACCGCAGCACCGACAGGTCGTCGCTCGCTACGACACCAGCGCTTCGATTCCTCGACGGCAGCAGCGTCACGGTCGTCTCTCGCTCAGACAACGACGCTCCGGCGGCAGCGTCCCGGGCGTTTCTCGCTTCGACACCGGTGTTTTTCGATACGGCGATGGCAGCAGCGACCCGACGTCGGCTGCGACGCACCGATACTCCAATGCGGCGACGGCAGCGACGACCCGACGTCTCTTGCCTCGACACCAGCGCACCAACAGCGCTGGACGTTCAGCCAACATTGTGCCCCAGCAGCATCAAAGCACGCGTGCCCCTTGCGGAGATCGCGCCCGATGCACAGTTGGTGCTAACCGAAGATCCTACGTGTGCATGCGCGCCGCCGTACCCAGCAACTCTGGCACGGCGACCTTGCAACTGGATCAAGCCGCGCTTTCGCAGCGCTCGCGCAACACAAGAGTGCTCACTATGTTTACCTCTAGAATCACCCACGAGAGACGACAAGTCGCAGCCCCGCCACCCGCCCCGACAACAACACTCGTCACGTCCAAGCACCTTAAGCACCGCTCTATTTGGGGGCTGCGCTGCTGAGCCACTTTAGACATATATATCAAACGGCGACCGCGGCCAAGTCGCGCAAGATCGACAACCAGCAGTCGCGGCAAGACCCCCCGTCTCTCCCGACCAACGGCTTCTCCAAGAAGAAGGCAGATCACACGCCGTCGCCATCGAGACACGGCCTCACACACTGGCGCGGCTTTCAAGCGAGCGGCGCGACCAAGATCGCTCCGAGACGGCATACCGCCAACGGACGCCAACCAGGTGACGCTTGACATCAGCACCGACGCAGACGACAAGCACCGCCACGTTTGCACGCAGCAGCCAACACCAAGGCTCGTTGGCGCGACTCTGAAGAACTGCAGCGGTACCGGGCAAGATGCACCACGTTTTCAACGCGACGTCTCACTACGAACGACCACGCCCGACCGTCAGTCTCGAGCGACACCGAGACGAACGCAATCACCAAGACGAGGCGTCAAGAGCACACGCACAGATCTCGGTCCACCGGCGCGCATACCATCGCCAAGCAGCCGCCAACGACGCCGATCACCTATCATTGGGGCACCGCCTCGCCAACCCATGGCAGGCGTGGTAATCCACCTCCTTTGCCCCCTTTGCTGGCAACAAGCGCGACTCCTGAAAACGACTTTGCTGCGCAGCTACGCCCGAATCAGATCCACGGGATGAGCGGTCGTTTTTGCTCAAGCTGGCGTCGTCTTGCATGCCGGCAAGCACAGACGATGGGGTACGAGGGTGGGTGGTGTGGGTACATCTCGCCCGAGCAAGGCAACTGGGAGAGGTCTGCAGGGTCCTTTCTACAAGAGTAGCTGCTTGCGTCAAGCGAGAGTGCCTCCTATATATATAGTACAGGCCCCAAACCAAGCTTCTCGCCCACGACACCTCGACTCCTGATGCGCCAGAAAGGTCGTCAGAATCGTTCGAGAAAGAAGACGCTTACCAACGGAAGCCATACGTGTCTGGTCAGCTATCCACCTCCAACTATGTGCACGTTCTCACATTGCGACGTGTTTGTGATCACCAGCGTCGAACGAGTATCGAGTTGATATAATACGTGGCACCACCAGAAGCTGCCACGTATGTGATTGGTGACTTTGTACCCGCGGTTTAGTGCAGGATACGGATTAAAAATGAGCGGAAAAAGAAATAAAAATGAGCGAACCGAAAAATGGCAGAAAAATGAGCGGAATTTCGACTTTGGCAGAAAAATGAGCGGGGATTTCCAATAAAATAAAAATGCAATTGCGGGTAGTGAAATGGCAGACTAATGAGCGAGATGGTCCTGCGGCGGCAGAAAAATGAGCGGAGGGCTGGGATTTCGAATGATTTCGAATCCTGGGTGGCGTTCGATCCTTCCGTAATATCCTTGTGAAACGGCCGTGGCACTGCATTCTCGAATTACCATGGCTGGTCGCAACAAGAACCGGAAGGCGAAGAAGACCCACAACTCTGGGAAGGGGCACAAGGCACACAAGCGCAAGGTCGGCCCACTCAACGGCCACGGCGCTTCGGCCCTTCGGCTCGTTCTCTCGTCCCGTACCTCGGAGACCCCGACGGTGTCGCACGCCACGACAACCTCAACAGTTCTGGCCCGAGTGACCGCAACTGGTGCTCCAGCAACCCCAACTTCGGCCACTGTAGCCTCAACTGCGGGACCGGCGACCTCAACGACTGCCCCGATGACCTCGATTTCCACGGTTGCGATTGAGGTCATCGAGATAGACACGAGCGACGATGATGAGGTACGCACATCGTTTTACAATGTAGATGGATATCGTTTGTCCTACAGATTGCGATGACTGAGTGCGCGAAAAGCCCTATGCCGGTAGACGCTATTGTCCAGGACGCGTCGGTGACGGAACGCGATGGCGACGTTGTGGGTACCCATGTGGCCCATGCGGCCCATGGCGATCGAGCGGTAGAGACGGAGGAGGACGGGTCAAATCAAAGAATGAGGAAAGCTGAGCACGAGCAACGCGCTCGGATCACTTATATTGTCGAATAGAATCTGTCTCTACCGCTCGATCGCCATGGGCCGCAAGAAGAGCAAGAAGAGCGGACGCAAGAAGCAACGTCTGTCGAACGGCCTGTCGAACGGCCTGTCGAACGGACAGCCGAAGGACCTCCGGAACGGCCGCCACAAGTCGTCAAACGTCGAGATGCAATCAAGCCAGCTGGACACGACGGCCGAGGCCTCGACGCCGACCGCTGCGCCGCCGACGTTCGCCGTGATGGACGGCGCACTTACCCTCGGCGGTCTCGCGGCGGCAGCCAAGGTCTTTTGCGCCCATGACGGCGAGATGTCTCCGATGCTCATTGCGCGCAACGTGCCGCTGGTCGCGTGGCTCAAGGATGCAACGCTCAACGCCCGGCAGTTCCACGTCATCTTGTGGGGCACGTTCAAGGGCGATCCTCGGGACCCGGCGACGCTGGCTGCGATCTACATCGCCCGACGCACTCCCGGTCCCGCGCATCAGCAGGCTTTGGGAAATACGATGATGGATCTTGCGAGGCAGGCAATCAACTTTCCCGATGCGTTCTACGTTGGACCTTGCGAGGGGCTCACGCTCGGTAATGGTGAAGTGAGTGAGCCGGACATGGCGATCTTCCAGCGCATTGATGGGCTGAGGTGCATTGCCCATCCGTGCTTGGTGATGGAGCTCGACCACGAGAACCGCTCGTTCCCGGTGCTAGAGAAGTGGACCAAGGAGTACATTAGCGTCCAGATCCACACAGCTGTCGGCGTCAAGATCTTCGGCGACCAAGATGGCGAGGTTGGTCGCTTTGGCGCCGTCGCGCTCATGTACGTTCTTGGCGAAGACGGCGCTGCGACGCTCCGGTTTGCCGCGAGCATTGGCACGGCGCCGCTCACGCCTGAATCTATGCGCGGGATGAGCGACGAGGTGCGCGCCGCGATGCAGCATTTCGAAGACGGGATTGCGCACGAAATGGCTCTAGAGCATGTGCGCTGGGCTCACCCGACGCTGGATCCGCCGCGCATCGAGCTCACGGTAGACGATCTCTGGTACCAAGACGAAGACCACTTGCTCGGCGCGGCGCCGCCGAATCTCACGAGCCTCTTCATCGACCTCTACACCGTCGCCATGAGTGCGTATTCCGCCATGACCTAGCCTGGTAGCATGTAGGGAGCGTCCCCTTCTTGAGATTGCTAACTCATACATGGAGATCGAACATTGGTTGGAATCGTGCATCGGGTCTAGAGCATGTTATCAAGCTCAACGCGCCGGCATTTCGTATCTTGGTTTATTGCATTTGGCAACGGATGCAATGGTGCTGTATGCATCGCAGGATACAAGACTTTTCGATACGCGGGATGGCTCAGGGGGCGAAAAGGGCGTATTGCCTGAATTACCGCCCCAGCCTCGGGGGAGGAGTGGCGGGTTGCTTAACGGGAGCCGAGTTCTAAAATGAGAGTGGTTTCGCAGCTCCGCTCTCGAAAAGTTCGTTTCGGCTCCTTGCGTCGCAAAACACCCATTTCGATACGCGGGATGGCTCAGGGGGCGAAAAGGGCGTATTGCCTGAATTACCGCCCCAGCCTCGGGGGAGGAGTGGCGGTCCCCCCAAGGCCATGCGACTCGCCAGCTGAGCCATCTTGACGTCGTCGATCCGATCATACACCTTGTACGCGTCGCTGCGCCATCGACCAAACTTCTGGATTGCGAGGTCGGATGCACCGCCCTTGAACAGTGCTGTGAAAGAGCCCGAGCAAGATCCCGAGCGTCGGAAGGAAGCTCAAGATGTCGCAGGTGATGTTGGCGGCCCAAAACGCCGAAATGTAGACGCCCGAGACGAGCTGCTGGTGCTTGGCCGTGAGCTGGTCTCTCTGACGATAAAACCGCCGGGGGCCCCGCCGCTGCGAAGCGAGTGCGTTGAGTACTTGATGGGGTCTTGTCCAGGCGTCGCACACCGTCGCGGATGAGCTGCTTGAATGAACTGAGATGTGTTGGCTGGCTTCTCATTGCACGTCGCCTGCGCAGAATTGTCGGTCTCGGTTGCTTCAGCCAAACGAGAGTCTCTGCAGCGCCCACCATGCCGGGACCGGGAAACCAGGGCACCCAGACAACGACAAGCCGATGTTGACGCCGGTGCACCGCTGGTCCGCGTTGGCGCGTGGTGATGCGGCGTTGACCTCGTGCCCGTCGCCTTCGAGTTGAGAACGTTGCTCGAGGGCCATGACGGGCGTCCTTGACCGTGGTAGCGTGCTTCGCGCCTTGGAAACTTGTCTGACTTGTGCGGGGAGAGAAACCCAGTAGCGTAGCCCCCAAGAGTGAGCGCTGCTGTGGGTTGTCGAAGTCGCGCATAAAAACTGGCTCCGTGCGCTTCGTGGGTCCC